TCGCCGAGCACGAGCGGTCGCTGGTATAGTGGAGCTCCCAGGCGCTAGCCCCATCTTCGCGGTCTCTTCCTACGTCCGCGATTCCGAGGACTTACCGGGTAGAAGCGTCGCTCTCCTCGCCCGATCTTGCTCGCCTGGTAGCGCCCTGGGCTTGCCGTTTTTCCTGTTGGCTGATTTCGACATGGAACCTTGTGTCGTGCTGGATTCGTGTTTTCCAAATATTCCAAAAATCATTGCGCTGGCCACTGGCGCGCGCGCGCGTGCAGGTCCACCACTGGTCTGAAAGAATTGGGTTCTTTCCTGTGTAGCGAAGACTTGTCTAATGGAGTTGCGAGCCTCGTCCTTATTCGGTTTTCTTACTCGTCGCCTCATTGCCCTTTTAGGGCTACGCTGCACCCGCAGTTGGGTAGGCTTACGTTTTTGTCCGGTCGGAACCCGCCCCCCCTGCCTGCGGCCCCACCGGTGCCCGTTTTCTTTTTCGCGTCGGCCCCTGTGCCCAACGATCTCCCTGGTGTTTTGGACGCTTGCAGGCGTGCTTTGGTCAGACTCGATTTCAGGGATGCTCGGGCTAAGCTCGACAAGGGTTGCAAGCTGTGGGCCAACGTTGCCGAGGAGGAGGTCGGGGTGGCCACGGGGGCTCTGCTCCCTTGCTAGGGGGCGAGGGGCAAGCCGCCCAAGCTTTGTTGGCAACCCATCATCCCGTGCAACGATGCCCCTCAGTGCTCAGGGCTTTTTGGCTGGCAGATGGCTCAGCGACCAGCAGCCAGTTCACGGACTTCCTAGGGCATTGGCAGGCTTCCAGTGAGGCTGGCGTCTTCAAGGTCATTCGTGTCATTCATAAGCCCCTTCTTGCCATGGTCTCCGCCTTAGGACCTTTAACTCAGTTTTTTCGAGCAGCTAGTGGCGTTCGTGGGCGCCCTACCGCCCTGCGACGAAGCTGAGGCCCCGTTGGGGGATCGCTTCGACTCCACCCAAGCTGACTTCTCCGCTGCTTTGGGGGTCGTCGTCTGTTGGTCTAAGGAGATTGGGATCGCGCGTCGCAGGCCGCGCAGTTTTTCGGTCCCGCTGCCTGAGTTGCGGGAGACCTGGGGGGCTGGATTTCGAGGCGGATATGGCGCGTGGAGATCGGTGGGTGGCCCCGTGGGGGTCCTCGGGAAGTCCTGTGAGCGCATCTCCTGGCTGATGGATGCTCTCGCGGCTCTCATCGCGGATCAAGGTGGCAGGATTTGTTTGACGGAGTTCCCCTCTGCCCTTCTCAAGCCCCTCCTGAAACGTCTTGTGTTGAGGGGCTAAACTGAACATCGATGGGGCGGTGTGCGCCGACGGTATTCTGCAGCTGCCCGGGAGCTCCCATTTCATTCCCTTTGAGAAGGGCTTCGTTCGTGCCTTGTTCTGTGATGAGATCTACGCGCGGCAGCGAGCGGTCAACTTAGGCAACCAGGTTGACGTGATGTGCGCCTTTGTGCCTTAGTTGTCCTGACGCTTTCAGGCACCGCCTCTAGCTTGTCGAGGCTGTCTCGGAGGAGAGGGAGGTGCCGTTGAAGGAGGATGTATCCAAGTTGGCCGGGGATGCGGACGACGCTCTCGCTTTCTTCGGTGTATTTTCTCATCCAGCTGAGTAGTTCCCTAAGCATTTGAAGAAAGGAGGCATCGAGGTTGATTGGGCGACGGAGCCCGAGGATGGGGTCACTCTCGACAACGTGTTCGTCGGCGACGTTTCCGGGTACGGTTCTTGTTCGAGGAGAGTGGTGACAGAGCTGGACCGTGCTGGCTTGGCTTTTTCGCTCTGGAATCATTCTTCGAGTCTCGAGGTTGCCCGTGTTCGCGGGCCTGTCTGGGCCCCTATGCCACAGGCGCCCCAACCAGCCGAGCTTTGTAATTATCTAATTTCCCAGCAGTGGTCCAGCGGAGAGTGCGTGACATTCCAGAATTTCGTAGATTTTCATGCCTGGCCGTGGACCGAACAAATTTCGCTTGAGAGAGCCTATGCTGGAGTTGCCCAGTTTTGCCGCCCTTTTACAGGGCGCTGTCTTCTGCGCAAAGTGCGGGCCCGCCAGCTGCTGGCGAGGGCGAGGATACTTGGTCGGCCTACCTTCGGCCCGGCAACGATTCGGTCGACGCGTCGGCCAAAACTGCTGCTGCAATTCACTCCTCGCCTGACCCTGGCGATGCGGAAAAGCTCGAGCAGTCTTTGCGCGTTGCCATGACGGCCGGGAATTTGGCTGCCAAGCTTCTGCCCCTATGGCCACAGCTCGTCGTGGGCTCGGATGTGCGGAGAGTCCCTGTTCAGCCTCCGCCTTCTGCTGCCGTGGACAGAAATGGTCGCGCCTTGGCGTGGGCGGGCAGTTTTTGACAGTGTCTTTCTTGTTTTCGCGGGTACAAGTCCTCTGACAGGTCTCCGGGGGGCTCCTGCCGCGGTGGTCCTGGGTTCGGGATCCGTGGGTTCGATGCTCCGACGCTGTCTGCGTCGGGGCACAAAATGCTCTTTCTCGATTCTAGTGACGGCAGTCTCGCGTTTATGTGTTTCCAATGTAAGTGCTGCGTTGGCAGCAGCCGGATCCGCGGCTTCAGACCCTCAGGGGCCGAATCCCCCCCCCTCCCGGAGGATGAGGATGTGGCTCGAGAGCTTCCGGGCCTCGGGCATTTGAAGACGGCGGCTCGTCCCTTGTCGAGGCCTCTGCGCCCCCGCGAACTGCTGGCCTCGCCTCTCGCAGTGTTGCAGAGCTCCGCGAGCGGCTCGACCCTGCCATTGCCCCCCCCGCCCGACCTCCGTGCCCCCCAAGGCAATGCGGGTGGCAACCTGGACGAAAGGCTCCTGCCCGCGGTCGGCGCTGAGTGTCGGGAGGGCGGCGCCACGGGAGCCCCAGGTGCCACTTCGAGTGTTGCCAGCCATGAGGCCGGCGACTCTTGCGTTGAAGACCGACAGCTGAGCTCCCGCGGGTCTTTCTGGCATGGCCTGGGCGGCCAATCGTCGCACTCGTTGTCGACTGTTTTTTCCGGTGATGGTGGTGGGGGGCTGGAGGGGGGGGACCTGTCGGACTTTGACTAGAGCCGCCTTTGCGAGCTCATCTCATTCTTGCGCCCTGCTTGCGGTCACTGGACCAGCGTAACGGGTTCGATCTGAGGCTCTTGTGTCGTGCTCTCTGGCGGTGCTGGTGTCGCGCAGCCAGCCCTGGAACTCGGGCCGTGGCGTTCCGCCAGGCAGGCGATGCTGGCCGTCCTCTTCACCGCCACGTTTGTGGCCACCTCCTCCTGTGCGCGGCCGTGGGGGTGGAGGCCTGCTCCCCCTGCGGTGACAGCAGCACGGGAGGGCCGCTCATCTTGTTTGCGGCGGTGGCTGGGCTCACGCGGCGGGTTCGTTCTGGGGCTTCGTGTCGTCCTGCTTGGCGATGCTGGTTACGCAGCCAGCCCTGGTCGTCGGGCCATGGAGTTCCGTCAGGCAGATGTTGCTGGCCGTCCTTTTCACTGTCTCGCGCTGTCCTCGTCCCCCTGTTGCACGGCCGTGGGGTGAGTTCTCCCCCGCGGTGACCGTTGGTCAGGGGGGCCGCCCCCTTTGTTTTGGAGTGCGCGTCGGGGCACGAGGGAGGCCGTCCAGACCTCCCCGACCGTGCTCCCTGCCGTTGCGCTAAAGACTCTTTGGGCACTGTCTTGTACAGCCGACGCTGCCCTGTGGTCCCGCGGCACGGGAGTCTCTCGCTCCGTGTGCCCTGCCTCTCGGCTTTGGTGGCCTTGGTTCTGCGTTGGCTGAGCCGTGCCGCCTGCGCCAGAGTGACGGTTCGAATTCTAGACTCTAGACGCTTCGCGTAACCCCGCCATCTCATCCAGAAACGATGCCCAGAGGAAGTGCTTCGATCAGGGAAGTGGGCAGCACACAGAGGAAGGGTCCCCCAATGGAGGCCTCTTGGAGCGTCTTGGGGCCTTTTAGAGCGTCTTGGGTGCCTCGGAGAGCTTCTTGGGGCCTCTTGGGAGTCTCTTGGGGCCTCTTGGAGGCCTCTGGGGCGCCTATTGGGGCCTCCTGGGGAGCCGTGGGAGCGCTCTTGGAAGTCTCTGGGGCCATCTTGGAGTCATCTTGAAGCCTCGGATGGCCATCGGAAGCGAAAAGACGAGAACCCCAATAATATGATTAGGATGAGGAAAGGGAGCAGGAAGAGGAGGGCGAGCAAAATTGCCAATGGTCTCATGGTTGCCTCTCGGAGCCTCTTGGGATGTCTTTTGGGTGTTTTTGTTTCGAGGCCTCTTGGGACGTCTTGGGGGCCTCTTGGCCCTCCTGAGGGACTCTTGGGCGTCCTGGGTGCCTCGGGGAGGCCTCTTGGGGCCGCTTGGGGCTATCCTGGGGCCATCATGGGGCCATCTTGGGGCCCCTTGGGGCCTCCTGGGCGCCTCTTGGGGCCATCTTGGAGGACATCGATCGAAGAAGTGGGGTTCCCTAATTACGGTCCCCCTTCGGCTGGAACCTCTGGGGGCGCTCTTGGAGCGCTCTTGGGCGTTTTTGGGGCCGTGCTGGGGCTCTCTTGCCAGCTTGGAGCTCATCTTGGGCTCTCATAGGCGCTCATGGAGCCGTCTTGGGCCCTCTTGGACGCTCCAACGCGTCGCGAAACCCCTTGTCCAGGTCCAGGGGAAGGGGTAGGGGGAGGGGTAAACCCCTCCCCGAAGGGGAAGAAAGAGGTTGGAAGAGGAAACTCCCTAAACCACTTACGCCCAGAGGGCTGGTGGGATTTTCTCGGGTTTTAACATTTCCAGCTGTCTCATGCGATTTTCGTGTGGGCGCAGTTGGATTGTGTGTGTGTGTGTGTGTGTGTTGACTCGTTTGGATTGTTCCCTTGAGGGGTTCGCCCACCCTCTTGGGAGTACAATGGGCTGCGTGGTGCCGTGCAGGCAAAAAATCTCCCCCCTCGCCCTCCTCCCCCTCTTCTCCACCTCCTCCCGACCCCCCATCCCATCCCCGAGGAGAGACGCAGCAGGGGAGACGCGAAACGCAGCCTGCCCCCCCCCCCCCCCAGACCGCGGACGTCGCCCGCATGCTCGGGAGCCTGCTGCCAGAGCGCATCCAGAAGGAGTCTGGGGCAATGCGGGGCGGTTGTCGTCGCGTTCTAAGGAGGGGCGTCGGTTACAGTCGAGGGACGCAGCACGCTAACCATGACCAAGATGTCGATGGGATCCTGTCGACGCCGATTTTGGCCATGGTCTTTGCCGGCCGTCGCCGATTCGCGAGGACGGTGACGAGAATGTATGGCTGTCAAGATCGGCACTGCCGTTTCCGCGTTCAGTCTTTGTCACAGTCACCATTTTTTCTACCTCCATGCGGCGCGACAGGATCACGGGGATACGCGGTAAGGGTGCAAGGACAATTGGACATCCAAGTTGAAACCTGTTGAGAGACAGTTGCCAGCGATGGTGGCTAAGGCAGGGCCGAAGAAGCAAGAGAGGAAGCGTGCCCTCGCGATGGTCCTATTTGGCTGTGTGCGTAAGAGTGGCCCTTCTCCAGGGTGACCTTTGGTACGGGCTTGCAGGGGTCCCGCCAGTACTGGCCTGCTCGTTTGGGTTTCGTTTTTCCCCCCAAACGCACGCGGCCCCCGAATGCCGCGCACCAGAGGTCACCCTTGCCTGAGGTCGCTCTTGCGTGTAACCGAGGGGCGAGGGGGGGTCAGCTGGACGGGAGAGAAGAGGAAGAGGACAGCGAGTTGGGGCGGGGGGGACTTGGATGGGGAGGAGGAGAGGAGGGAGGTGGGGGGAGGGGGAGGAGGGGAGATGGGGGAGGTTGAGGAAGAGACAAGACCATGAACGGCAACACAAGAGAAGACAGTACAACGTTCGATCGCGGGCCGAAGGCAAGCACTGCGTTTTGCTCGGACCGCCCGCTCAGCCATGCTGAACATTCCTTGCCCAGGCCCACGACCGATTCGCCCACGGCATTCTCTCCAGGATGCGGGGCGGTTGGGGAGGGGAGCGGCAGCAGCCGCCAGCGAAGCAGGCTGCCGGCCTCGCTCTCCGCGGTCGCGAGAGAAAAGCTCCCGCTCCGCGGGCTGCTGGCTCGGCAGGCCCGCCCCGCGAGAGAGCCGTGGCGTGGGGCCGAGAGCGCGAGAGGGTGCTGCCCGCGGGCGGCACCCCCCCCGAGTGGGAGCGGCAGGTGGCACGGGAGCCCGCACGCCTGACGAGGGGGGAGGAGCTGCAGGAGGAGCAGGAGGAGGAGGAGGAGGAGGAGGAGGAGGAGGAGGAGGAGGAGGGAGGAGGGAGGAGGAGGAGGAGGAGGAGGAGGAGGAGGGGGAGGAGGAGGAGGAGGAGGAGGGGTCGGGGGAGGAGGAGGAGTGGAACCCTGCACGCGGGCGAGGTTCTGCTTCGGGCCGGCTTCTTGTCAACCGCGGCCCGTGCTCGGCCGGGCGGAGGCCCACGGCCAGCCCCGGGGCCCTGCCGGGCGAGGCAGGAGCACCAACTGCCTTTTCCTCGCCTCGCCGGGTATGACAATCTTCCCCTGGGTCCTTTTGGCCCCCTGGCCCTTTCGCCTCCTTCTCTTTCTTGTCTCCTGGGTGTGGGGGGAGCGGAACCCTCAGGGATCTAGAGGAGTATTGAAGAATCCGTATGGCTTCCTAGTCATTCTAAGGACATGTGAATAATCCTTCGAGATTGCTGGAAATCCTTCTCCTTCCTCTCCTCCGAGCAGAAGAGGAAAGGTGGCGGTGGTGGTGGGGAGGAGGAGCTGACGATGCAGTGAAGGGAGGTCCCTGGATCCTCAGATCAGCCACCTCCCAGTTGCAAAGTGCCGCTGCCGTTCAAGCGCAGCACCGTAGCACCACTGCATCACTGCAGCACCGAAGCGCTGCCCACTCTTCCGTCTTCGCTCCTCCGCCTCCTCTTCCGTTTGTCGTTCTCTTACGTCAGGGTCTTCACGTTTGCTGGTTTGAGTTGCGTGGTTATTTGTTGTATCAACAATTTCGAGACAGTTGCAGGATCAATCCGAGATGGTTCCACCATTGGCTCCTTGGATCGATCTCCGCAGGCTCGAGGGATGCTTTCGGACCGTCTGTGGCGCGACGTTCCCCCAGTGCTCTCCCGAGGCGAGACCGTGAAGCCATTCTTGGGGCTTGGTGGGGCCTGCGTTTTTGGACTTGCCCCGCGGGATCCTCGTCGACCTCGTTTGTTTTCCTTGTCTGTCGTCCTCGTCTGTCGCCCTCGTCTGTCCCCCCACCTCCCCGCGCCCTCCCGTCGTCCTCGTGTTTCGTCCGTCCTTCGTCCATCGTCGTGTCGTTCCTCTGCCCCCTGCCACGGGGCTCCTGCTGCGCTTGCTGGAAAGTGCCCCTGGGGGTCCCAGGCCGTCCCGAGGGCCGCTCTGTGCCGTCTTGTCGTCGTCCTCGGGCGCCCGGGGGCCGTTGTAGGAACGCTCGTCCGGTCTCGCGCCTTGCCGGGTCGCATGCAGGTAGTGCTTGGCAACCCGTGTGTGTTAGACACGCGCTCGATGTCCCAGCAGGGTCTGCCTCGAGGCCCTCTCGATTGCATCTCGGCGGCCTCCCCAGACAACTCTGGGGGGCCTCGTGGGGCCATCACGGGGACTGCCGGGGAGAACACTGCCAGGCACGAGCAGGAGAGATCCTGCGACGTGCTACTGGTGTGAGTCATCACCCTTGCATAACTGAAGACATTCAGCCAGACATCCCACTGGGCATTCTGGCTCTAGCACATGCCAGCATGCCAGGGGGTGCCCGTGGCAGATCACCGCTGGGTGTCTTAAAAGCAAGTGCGCGACACCGTGTCCCCGTACTGGCAACTCCTCTGATTGGGCAGACGGTAACGGAGGAAACACTTGGGTTGGGCGTCGCGTAATGGGGGGGGTGTGGGGGGGGGGGCGAAACCAGGGGGGGGGGGCAGCGAGGGCTGCAGAAAAGGGGCCCTGTAGGACCTAAAGGGGCCCTTTAGGGCCCCACAAGGGGGCCTTCGGGGCCACAAGAGTACACCCTGCTTCCCCCCTATGTATCGCCCCCCCCTCCATTAGGCGAGGCCCAGTCGGGGGGAAGAACGGCGCACCCTGCCAGCACCCGCTGGACGCGAGTGGTGACAGTTTGGACGGCCCTTTTCTTTGTGGTCCTTCCAGGGCCACCTCTCTTCCTGCAGCCCTAGATCGCCCCCAGCTTAGTTCACCCGATCTGGGCAGGCGTCACGGCTGGGACGCTCGTGATTCGCCCAGTGTGCCATTTCAGGCAACCCGCATAGTAGGGATGCGCGACTCTCCAAGGTTACCCTTGCACCCTTCACATTCGGCCCATCCTTGGCCGCTTTCGCTGGCTGCGCCCCGCCCGCAGAAAGTCGACGTGGCTTTCAAAGACCCTTGCATCCTTACCGCGCATCCTTGTTACGCGAGTTGACTTTAGGCGCCTTCCTACTTGAAGGGTCGAGCAGCTTTACTTATTCCTTCCTCTTGCAGGTTCGGGCGGACACCTGCTCTACTTCCAACGCCTTCCTGCTTCATATTTCTACCCACTTCTTCCGACCGACGGGTATGGTGGGGACGCTCGTGGTTAGCCCAGTGTGTACTGACCTCGTTCAGCCCCACCGATAGCATGCAGCCTACGTTGGCTCTCATTGCGCGGCCTGCGTCGTATCGAACAGCCACGGTAGACGAGCACACGCTGGCGCCGACCCACTCATTCCGAGGAGCACCTGTTCGCAGGGACGTCACTTCAGGACCCATCTCGACCCGATCAATCCGATTCGATAACGGTTTCGGGCCGGTCCGATCCGGTTCGACTCCGATATTCCGGCCGTCCGATGCGGCCCGGCTGGCACGGCGCTGCTCTTTCTCCTGGCGCGGCCGGCCCGATGCGATTCCGACTCTGGGGCGCTGCGAACCGATCGGACGCACAGAAAACGCGTTCTTTAATGCTGTGGGGTGTGTGGCCGGATTTCGGACACCCCTGCGTCTGGACCAGGTATCTCATGCCAGCATCGAAGCAGCGCCGACCGCACACAAGCACCGAAAACAGAAGCCGCGGGCTTATTTTCGACTAGCCATGCAGGTCACCCCCGGGGGCGCGATATCTCACGCCGGCCGGCATCGAAGTAGCGCCGACCACGCAGGCACCGAAAACAATGACCACCCTTTTATGTTCGACGAGTCTTGCACCTCATGCGCGGGGGCGCGCAGGCAGTCGCGCTCCGCGCGCCGGGGTCTCAGTCTGGGCCAGGGGTCGCCCGAGCGGCTGCTCTTCCCGAAGGAAGGCGGCGAGAGGGCGCGAAGAGGAATCTCGCTTCGCGCATCGCGGGGCGCGAGGCGCCAAATGAGGCGACCTGGATTCATCGAGGATCTTCACTTGGGTCCTCGATGACGTTGTCTCACTCGGGTCCTCGTCTGTGCATTCGGGATGATATTCTTGGCAGTCTGGTATGACACACCTGCAGAAAAGATCCCGTATCCCTTTTGTTGTTGGCCCTCCTAACTCAGGTCCCCTCCTAAAAGGTTAGGGGTACTTTTATTGCTTATCATGGGTCAATCACCCCAGAGCGTTCCAGAACAGTGAAACGGCCGTGGCGCCAGATGCAACCTCCACGCCCACTGGCTCCCAGAGATTCCTGAGCTATCCTCCGACCGTGGGTTCGAGGATGGGGCCCCGAGGGGTTGCCCGAGGACATCCCAGTTCCAGGGGTCGACCCAAGCGGCATTTTGGCGATTCCGTGGGTCGTTATCGTTTCGACCTCTTTTTGCAGCACAGGGCGGTTTCAAGACGGAATGAGCGACAACGAAGACGAAGCGAAAACGAAAGAATTTTTTAGGTCGAGCGCTGCCCTATTCGATGCCTTTCGGGCCTCTGCCGAGAGTGTCGGCGCCCGCGGCGCCCCCCTGGCCCTGGCGGCGCCGCTCCCCCGCCCCCCCCGCCGCCGCATCTCGAAGGAGTGGACCGTGGCCGTCGCGGTGGGGACGCCGCCCGGTGTCACCAGGCGCGGGAGCCGAGGCGGGCGGCTGCCGCCTGAGGGGGTAGTCGTCGTCGTCGTCGTCGTCGTCGTCGTCGTCGTCGTCGTCGTCGTCGTCGTCGTCGTCGTCCTCGTCCTCGTCGTCGTCGTCGTCGTCGTCGTTCTCTTCCTCCTCGTCGTCGTCGTCGTCGTTCTCTTCCTTCTCGTCGTCCTCGTCGTCGTCGTCGTTCTCTTCCTCCTCGTCGTCATCGTCGATGTCGTCGTCATCGTCGTCGTCGTTCGCGTCGTTGTCGTTCTCCTCCTTCACGCCGGGGCGGATGGCTTTCTCGTCGTCGTTGTCGTCGTGGTCGTTCTCCTCCTCCACGCCAGGTGGAGTGGTCGGGCGGCCGCGGCTGTTCGCCATGAGGTCAGCGGGTCCTCAGCGCAGCGGGTCCAGGTGCTTTGCGCCGTTCTCGGGCTCCTCTGGGGCCCTCCACGGGTCTTGGGGCCTGTCGCGAGACAACCCAGGATGAAGAGCTGGTCCGCGGGGAAGGCCCTGGGGTTCCCTCGGGACCCGTTTTGTTCTTTCATGCCAAGGCTGTGCAGTGCCTCAGAGGAGGAAGAGATCGCACATCCACGAGCTCCCCCCCGCCCGCCAATTGTTCGCTCAGAGAAGAAATGCGACTCGGGGATACATCCCCAGGTGGCCATTCCGACGCACCCCTGACGAGGATGGACGCCCGCCCACCGTACGCCCCCGAGTTGAGCGTCTTTTTGTGTCTGCAGTCAGTAGAGGCGCCATGACCCCCGTTAGCCACCTGTCCCTCGTCGCCATGGCTTGATTCGCCTCGAAATCCTGGTCGGGTCTCGAGTCCCGCCTCGGCCCAAGCCTGTTTGGCTCAAGTGAGCTTGCGGCATGGCCGAGGTGCCTGGGGGCTGGACCATACGTGTGCCGACTCGGACACCCGTCGATACTTGTCTTCTTCTGGGCGGCCTTCGGCGGTGAACGCCAGAGTGAATTGGCTGCAAGACTATCCCACTCATCTAGTTCCTCAGCTGGGTGGCATGTGATTTCTTTGCTCTGACATGCCATTTCAAGATCTTGGGTGCTGTGTTCGTACTGCTTGTTGAGGTTGTTCCTTCAACTGCTTTTGGTGGTAACAGGATGTGCTGGCCATCCATCTTCTGACCTGTGCAAACGTTGAGGTTTGTGTGGTTTTCCAGGGTGGGTGTGGACAGTACGGGCCGAAATCATTTGCGAAGGGTGCTTGAGAATTTATGCGTTCGCGTCCCGTCATGCCTTCGGGAGCGAGTTGCCGGCTTTGATCCATCACCGCCGTCTGGGGATCGACCTTCGGGGGCTCCGGCAGGCGTTGAATCTGGACATCTTATATCATATTGTTGGGCCGTGGGGTCAAGCCTATGCATATCCACCATGAGCCGAGCGCCGAGAATATCGATTCTTCTCGCTCCGCGGGGTGGCTCTCTTGTGGCGTGTTGGCCCCCTTTCGGGCTGTCTTGGCTCTACTGGGACGTCTCAGGGCTTCTGGGGCGCTTCTCTTGGGGTCGTCGTGGGCTGTCTTCGGCGCTCCTTGGGCCGTCCTGGGGCCGTTTGGACCCGTCACGGGGCCTTCTTGAAGCCTTGTTGGGCCGTCTTGGGCCGTCTTGGGGCGACCTTGGAGTCCTCTGGGGCCGCCTTGGGCGATGTGAACGCCCAAACAGCGAATCAGCTGAAACTTACAGTTTTTCCGAATAATTGTTGGTCAGCGTGGGCCCGAAGCATGGTGTTTCTAGGAATCTATGCGATGCAATTCAGCTGGGGCAATCAATGTGGTGCAATCTGTGTGGTGTGATTTATGTTTTGCAATCCATGTTGTGCAAGCCATGTTGTGCAATCTATGTGGTGCAACCTACGTGGTACAATCAATGTCTGTTCGCAGTGGGTTGTCAAACCTATTGCTCGCGCAATCGTCCCACCCACCCACCCGCAAGTTGGTTTGCAGAAGCCCATGCGGCGGCGATTGCGATGAGGATGAGTGGTTGGCGTTGGCTGGTGCATCTTTGCGGCCGCGCTAGCCCGCGCCTGCTCACGCGCGCAGCGGCCAGCTGGGTTGGCGCGACCGACGCGGCCGCGCGGGCACTTCGGTGCGAGTCGGTGACTTGGGCGGGCGCGGTATCATGACGAATTCGACAACGGAAGACGCGAGGATGGTCGTAGCGATGGTGGTGGCGATTATGACAACGACGGCGGCAAGGCCAATGATGGCGCCGATGCTGATCAAGCCGACGACGATGACGGCGTCCTCGCGTCGGTGATGAAGGTTTTGGAACAGGTTCCACATGCGCGCGCCGCCGACGCGCGAGAGTGGCCCTCACGGTGTTATTTGACACGGATCGCGCCCCCCCATTAGCACGCGCGCAAGGGCGTTCGAATGATCCCGACATGCGGCGCGAGAAGCCCGCGTGTCAGAATCGGATGAACATACTGAGGATCTGGCGGGTGATTTTGTTGGAGAACTCGTAAGAGCGCGGGCGCATTTCCCATTCTATAGATACAGTGTTGTTTTCAGGACACTCGGTTTTGACATTCTGACGAACACCTAGCGTTGTCGAAGGATTTCGGCGCTCGCGCGTCGACGGGCGCGTGCGCAGGTCGTTTCAATGTTTCAAGGGGTTCTGGCGACAGCACGCGCGCAGGCGCGTTATAACAATTATTCTGCGGGGCAGTCGATTTTCAGGAGCGAAAGAAGGACGTACATGTACATGAATCCACGCTGGTTTCGAGAGCACGCACTGCGCAAATGTTCGTATCACGCGGCCGGTCTCGCGAATCGAGGGGCCGTGTTCATGTACATAGCTGGGCGCGTACGTCCTTTGTGGGCTCCCTAGATTTTGACATCCTTGCGAAACTCAGGTTTTTTATGTGCGCGGGGGATTTTGGCATGCGCGCGACGCCGCGCGCGTGTGCTTCCCGCCGAGGTTGTTGCAAGGGATCTTCATAAACGGGTTCGCGTGCGTACAGCTTGTTTCAGCGGATGAGAGGGGGTGCCGATACCGGCTTGCCTGGGATGGTGGGGGTTCATAGTTAGGACGGGCGACGGGGCAGATTCATATCCAATTTGCATTACGAAACTAGGTATTGTTAATCCTCGGAGGGGGAATGAGATGGAGTAGATCCGATCACTCTCTCAGACATGGAGAATACATCAGGAGCAGCCAGTTCGGTGTAGCCCGTGTGGTGTAACCAGCCGATGTGGAGCAATCAAAATGGTGCTGTGTGTATTGTGCAATCTAGCTATGTTGTGCAATCCATGTTGTGCAACACACGTGTTGCAACCTATGTGGTGCAATCCACTTTGATCGTCTTGAAGCTGTCCTCTCCGCCGCCCGCGCAAACATCCCACCCTCCCACCCGCAAACTTGGTCGCAATACCTCTTAAGACTGTGACGGTAGGTACCACATGGCAGTTGGCAGCGACACCGACGCCGACGACGACAACGACAACGACGACGACGCCGACGACGACTACGACGACACCGGCGACGACACCGACGACGACACCGACGACGACGTCGACGACGACGACGACACCGACGACGACGACGTCGACGACGACGCCGACGCCGACGACAACGACGCCGACGACGCCGACAACGTCGACGACGCCGACGATGACGACGCCGACGACGCCGACGACGACGCCGACGCCGACGCCGACGATAACGACGAAGACGACGACGGCGACGTCGCCAACGAAGACGACGACGACGACGAGGGAGGACGGAGGACGACGACGGCGACAACGACGACAACCACGAGAGAGGAGGGAGGACGTCGACGACGCGAACGACGAAGAAGGAGGGAGGACGGCGACGCCGACGACGACAACGACGAGGGAGGAGGGCCGACGACGACGACGCCGACGACGACGGCGACTGACAGGGACGACGACGAGACGTCGACGACGGACGACAACGACGACGAGGGAAGAGGAAGGACGACCATGGCGACAACGACGACGGAAACGACGACGACGCCGAAGAGGACGACGACGACGACGACGAGGAACGACACAGGACGACGACGTCGACGACGACGCCGACGACAACGAGGGAAGAGGGAGGACGGCGACGGCGACGACGACGCAAGAGCGCGCGGGCACGTTTTTTTTTTTTTTTTTTTTTTGGGAAAACCCGTGTTGCGAAACCCTGTGTTTTTGTATTTTGTTTGACCCGTCGATTTTGAAGTCCTTTCGAAAACGGAGAGCTTTGTGAAGGATTTCGGCATGCGCGCGCGACGGCGCGCGCCCACACTTCGTCCCAGTTGTTTGCAGAATATCCTCGCGACGGTACGCGCGCAAGGGTGTTCGAACGATTTCGACATGCGCGCGCGCGAAGCCCGTTTGTTAGTGCTTGTTTTGTTAAGATTTCGCAAGAGCGCGCGCGTAAGCTTTTTTAAAACATCCGTGTTGCGAAACCTTGTGTTTTTACATGTTATTCGGGAGCTCGATTTTGAAATCCTTGCGACACCGAAGGATTTCGAAGGATTTCGGCATGCGCGCGCGACGACGCGCGCATGTGCACTTCGTGCAGTGTCTCGCAAAGTTTTTTTCGAAAAAGCCTGATGGTTGATAAATTAGTGTGCGCGCCTAGTTGTTTGGAAGACGATGGCGGGGGGGGGGTTGGGGGCGATACTGGTTCGGCTGGGATCGTATGAATTCACTGTTCGGATGGACGATGGGGAAGAATCATGTGTAATTTTCATCGCGAGAATATTTAACCTGGGGGTTTAAATGAGCTTGGCGAAAGAAAGACACTTGGCGAAACCAAAGGTTTCCGAATGATGTTGGCATGTGCGCGCGACGAGGCGCGCGTGTGCACGTCGTCCAGGAAAGAATTCCGCAAGTGTTTTTTCCGCCGAAAACCACTCATGCGACACAATATGTTTAAACTTATTTTCGGAACACGCGATTTTGAAATCCTTACGGCACCCAGGGTTTTTGAGGGATTTCGCAATGCGCGCGCGTGACGCGTGCGACGACGCGCGCGTGTGCACTTCGTCGTGTTTGTTGCAGGGGTTTCCAATCAATTAAGGATTTTGATACACGTGTGCGCGCGCATCGAACTTTTTGCATCTGTGGGTGGGAGAGGGGGGGGGGGCAGTACTGGCTTCACCTTAATCGTGCGAGGCCGCATTTAAGATGGACGATTGGGCAGAATCGTATGCAAGTTGCGAAACGCAAATGCGTACCGCTAGCGGGGGGAGGCAAACTCCCACACGCCGAGTTGACCCCAAGGAGTCGGCGGATTCCCGCCTCGCAAGGAGTGAGTGGAATGGTAGGTTCGTGCGGCGTTGGCGCGCCAGCGACGCAGGCGAAGGCGGTCAAGGTTGAAGTCTGTGACGCGGAAGCACGGAGGGACGGTAACGCCATTGGGCCCGACGGAATTCAACCTTGAACAATCGGGGCCGCGATCGATTCAAGGTTGAACGATCGACGCGGTGTCAAAAACCTTCACGCTCGCCGACGCTGCACGAACCTACCGTAGGGCCTGTATACCGGGATCTGCTTGCTTGTTACCTCTTGCGGGCCGTCGGCCGTGTGTGTTGGGGTGTCAGAGGCTGGCGCGTTGGTGCTTCGGGAAGAAGGGCAGGAGGATGCGGAGGAGGAAAAGGGAGGACGAGCAGCAGCAGCAGGGCGGAGGGTGGATGAGGACGGGGGAGGAATAGGCAGTCGGGGTCGGTGGAGTAGGAGGAGGACAAGGGAGGAGGAGGAGGACGAGGAGGAGGAGCATGATGATGATGCTGCTGCTGATGATGATGATGACGATGGCCAAACTGACGCTGATTATGATGATGTTGAGGCTGATGCTGCTGATGATGATGCTGCTGATGCTGATGCTGCTGATGATGCTGATGATGCTGATGATGATGCTGATGATGATGATGCTGATGCTGATGATGCCGACGTTGATGATGTTGATGATGATGAGGATGATGATGACGATTCTGATTATGACGGTGATGCTTCTGATGATGCCGATTATGATGATCATGGTGCTGATTATGCTGGTGCTGATTCTGATGATGATGATACTGATGATGCTGATGGTGATGATGATGCTGATGATGTTCATGATGATGATGGTGGGAATGATGATGATTATGATTATGCTGCTGATGAGGATGATGATACTGACGATGATTATCATGATGCTGATGATAATGATTATGATGAGGATGCTGCTGATGATGCTGATGCTTATGATGATGATCATGATGATAATGATGATGTTGATGATGCCGCTGATGATGATGATGAGGATGCTGCTGATGATGATGAAGCTGATACTGATGATGATGCTGCTGATGATGATGATGATGATGGTGGTTGTGATGATGATGATGCTGATGGTTGTGATGATGATGATGATGATGATGATGATGATGATGATGATGATGATGGTGGTGCAAGGGGTGCTGGTGGTGGTGATGATGATGCTGATGGTGATGATGATGATGATGATGATTATGATGATAATGATGCTGATGATGCTGATGACGATCCTGGTGATGATGCTGATGCTGCTGCTGATGATGATGATGATGCTGATGCTGATGATGATGCTGATGATGCTGATGATGATGATGCTGCTGCTGATGATGATGATGATGAAGATGCTGATGATGATACTGATGTTGATGATGATGATGACGATGATGATGATTATGATGATGCTGATGATGATGATGATGATGATGCTGATGATGATGATGATGATGATGATGCTGGTGGTGGTGGTGATGATGATGATGGTGATGTTGATGATGATGCTGATGCTGATGATGATGATGATGATGATGATGATGCTGATGATGATGATGCTGCTGCTGATGATGATGATGATGATGCTGATGCTGATGCTGATGTTGATGATGATGCTGATGCTGCTGCTGATGATGATGATGATGATGGTGATGGTGATGATTGATGATGCTGATGATGATGATGATGATGATGATGATGATGATGATGATGATGATGATGATGAAGATGATGATGATGCGATGATGATGATGATGATGCTGATGATGATGATGATGATGATGATGATGATGATGATGATGATGATGATGATGATGATGATGATGTGCTGCTGCTGCTGATGATGATGATGATGATGATGATGATGATGATGCTGCTGCTGCTGCTGCTGTGCTGCTGCTGATGATGATGATGATGATGATGATGATGATGATGATGATGATGATGATGATGATGATGATGATGATGATGATAACGAGGACGACGACGACGACGACGACGACGACGACGACGACGACGAGGAGGAGGAGGAGGAGGAGGAGGGGAGGAGGAGGAGGAGGAGGAGGAGGAGGAGGAGGAGGAGGAGGAGGAGAGGAGGAGGAGGGGGAGGAGAGGAGAGGAGGAGAGGACGTGGAGGAGGAGGAGGAGGAGGAGGAGGAGGAGGAGGAGGTTCAGGAGGAGGAGGAGGAGGAGGAGGAGGAGGAGGAGGAGGAGGAGGAGGAGGAGGAGGAGGTGGGAGGCGTCGGAGCATGTTTTGGAGCAAGGCTGTGGTGCCCTTCGGGAGGCCTGGTCCTCGTCCATAAGTGCTCAGGAGGCGCTCGGAGGCAGGTCCGGGAACGGATGATGACGAAGGGGAGAGATCAGGCAGTCCTGGGAAATCAAATCGCTTCCGTACGGTAGGTTTGCGCCGCGTTGACGCGGCGGCGGCCCCAGCGCCGGCGTTCAAGGTTGAACGCCGCCAGCGGCCTGGACTCGGCCGATGTCGAGCGATCTGCGCTATCGGAGATCCGCGATCGTTCAAGGCTTGCGTGGCGTCAGATACCAACGTTTACGACATCGCCGCGCGACCCAGCCGCCTCCATGTCGACCGCCTCGCAGGCCCTGGCTCCTTGGCCGCGGCCCGGTGGATACGGGGCGGCTCTGCGCAGATGCCCCGCGCGGGGCGCATCCACGGGATCGCGTAGTCAGGAGGAAAAAAAAGCACAGACACAATTAATCGTCGATCCTCAGAAAATATGGGAAAATATGGGAATCGGGGGGGAAGACAGGGAAACCCAGAAAATGTGGGAAAATATGGGGGATCGTTCCATTTGTGTGTATTTATCTGTGTGTCCCAGGGCCCCTTGACATCGATCTGTTCGTCGCTCGCGAGCTTCAGAGTGTCCCGGGACGCTCTCGCGGCGTCCCGGAGCGCTCTGGGCCGGCCGCGCTTCCCGGTGCGTCGGCTGCACGACGGGGGGGGCAGGAGCAGGAGGGCGGGGAAAGCAGGAAGCGGGAGGGGGCCTGAAGCAGGAAGCGCGCGGGTGCAGGCGGGGGGCTTCAATTAGTTCTCCCGCCGAACACAGCAATCCAGGATGCATCGCCCATTCATGACTTTAAAAAACATCATTGCCGGGACCCTGCGCCCGACCCCCCCCACTTTCACCCTCCAAAGGAGGGCGGGGAAAGCAGGAAGCGGGAGGGGGCCATGCGGTGGGGACTCAGGGCCGAGTCATGCTCGGTCAGCTGTGCCGCGGGCAGACGCGGAGCTGTCGCAGTGGAGGGAGGCTGCCGCGGCCAGAGGCCACCCTCCCCAGGCAGAATGGAGTGGCCGTTCCCCGCTGGTGACGCGGCGCCGAAGGCCCCAGCGCCGAAGCCCTGCTCCTCGCGCCTGCTCCCACTGCCGCTCCTCCTCCTCCTCCTCCTCCTCCTCCTCCTCTTCGGCGCTCGGCGCTGGTGGCATAGATGTCACAAGTGACGTTGCTATCCGCCCCCCAGGGGCGGTGGTCGCCCCTGGTGGGCGGCGGTGATCAAACTACGATCCCTGCAGGATGAAAGTGGGAAGCGACTGGCAGACTCCCCAGTCAGTGGCGTGGTAACCATGCCCCCCTGCGCCCTGGGTTGGAGGGGGGAGATGATCTCAAAACATAGGTCCCTGAAGAGGGGAGGTGGAGATGACCAAGCGGCATCCGGACATGTTGGCAGGAGGTGGCGCCAGAGATGGGGCTGAGCGGCAGGCTTGAGCGAGGCGTGGACGGCCAGGCGGCCGCGGCCGCCCTACTGTATGTGAGCGTGGTGGCGCAAGGGTCATGGCGCCAACATCGCAGACCGGATTTCGTTCGGAAAACGATCGGATGGGCCTGGAGAGTCCTTGAGAGTGCCGGTCTGGATTTCGACGTGATTTTCGTGCAGATTTTTTGGGTCAGGCACAGAGTCTAACAACGTTCCACGTGAAAATCTATTCGTTTTTCGCTCGCCGCTTCGGGCAAACATCTATGCAGAAATCCACGCAGAGATCCGCTGCAGCACGTCTGCAAGGCCAGTGCAATGACAAGGGCCTCTCCCCACCACCCGTGGAGATCCCAACGAGTGAGCCCCGATTCCCAGCCCAAGGACCCCCGCTCGCCGGGGCGAGCGAAGGGTGCCACAAGGGCACAAGGGTCAAGTCAGGCGTGTCCTTCTACGGGGGGATTTTGGACGAAAATAAAATGCACACCAAACATACGCAAAATATGCTCAAACATAATCAATGGTCCCCAGACTATTTGTTTAAAGCTATTTTTGAATATTCCCCTTGCAGAGGGACATGCCCGACCTAACACAATGGTGAACTGTGGGCCCCGCAGGGATCCCAGTGGGGGCGAGGAGGTGTGCTCCATCCCCAGCGGCGGCCTGCCGTGGTGGCATTCGTGATCCCTCCACGGTGTCCTCCCAGCTCCATTGTGAGTCGGCAGCGAGCGCGGCAGAATTTCAGGAGGCATTTTTTTCCGACGGAAAGACCCCACATGAGAATCCTCTCGGCTAATCTGGAAAAGGCCCTCATTGTCCCTTCTGCGTATATTGCTTCTCGCCCTGGCGCAGGCCCTTCTCCCGCTCCCGACGTTTCCCCCATCCTCGCCCTCCTGTTTTTTCGCGCCCCGTCACCTCCTCCCCGTGCTATTGCATGAGCGCGCATGTCCTTGCAGGAGGAGGAGCAGGAGGGGGAGGAGGAGGAGGGGGAGGAGGAGGGGGAGGAGGAGGAGGAGGAGGAGGAGGAGGAGGAGGAGGGGGGAGGAAACTAGAGGAGGAGGAGCGAGGGAACTAGAGGAAGAGGAGGAAGGAGTGAGGGAGTGAGGGGTCCCAGACGCAAGCTATCGAGCGGAAACCCGCCCGACCACTCACGTGCAACACGAAACATCGACGAACAAATGGAGCTCATGGGGGCCACGTGCGACTGCACGACTTGTTCGCAACAGTAGACTTGTTCGCACCGGCAGACTTGTTCGCACCAGCGTTGTGCACTTCCCCTCGGCAGGCCGCTCGTGCCAGCAGACTTGTGCGCACTGGCGTTGCGCGCTTCGGGGCGTAAGCTCAGGTTCTAGTAAGTCTAGTGGAGTCAGAGGGATACAGTACATATTTGTAGGAGGAGGAGGAGGAATAAATGGAGGAGGAAGAGGAGGAGGAGGGGGGGAGGAGGAGGGATCAAACTAGAGCGACGAGGAGGAGGGAGGGAACTAGAGGAAGAGGAGGAAGGAGTGAGGGAGAGAGGGGGCCCAGACGCAAGCTATTCGGGCTTGTTGGGGTTTCGGTGAAGCCCCGGACCGAGAGGGAGGGAGGGAGGGAGGACGACGATGACGACGGGGCTACTCACATACGAGGCCCCGCTCGATACTTCCTGCAAATTCAGGCCTGAAGAGCCCAGAAGTGACGACAGTTACATGAATCGAATGACCCGCTCGGATTACTAACGGAGCCCAAAAGTGACGACAGTTACAAGAATTGACCCGCCTCGGATTCGAACATGGAATTCCGGGCCCCTTAGGGAGGGGGTTCCCGCCTGAGACTTCCTCACAATTGACTCACCGACTAGGCTCCCGCCTGACACTTCCTCCATATTCAGGCCTGAGTAGCCCAAAAGTGACGACAGTTACAGGAATTGTATGACCCGGCTCGGATTAGTAACGTGATTTGCGGGCCCCTTAAAGAGGGGGTTCCCGCCTGAGATTTTTCACAATTCACTCACAGACGAGGCTCCCGCCTGAAACTTTTTTCCAAATTCAGGCCCGAGGAGCCAAACAGTGACGACAGTTACACGAATTGTATGACCCGCCTCGGATTAGTAACGTGATTTGCGGGCCCCTTAAAGTCAATACATTCTTCTCCGCACCATCATCCTGTTGCCCTTGCCATCATTGTTGTCGTATTGACTGTCCGCCTGCAGCCACTGAGTCTTGAGGGGTATGGAAAAAAGGAGCGTGCTGGCCCGCGCGCGCGTGGGCCGGCTGGCCGGCCTCTTCGGGAGTTACTTTAAGGGGTAACCGAGAGTGCATCGGAACATAACGCAAGGATTCGCAATATCCAGGCAAACAACTCTTCAAGAGGGGGCTCCCTTCTTGACTTCCTCACAATTCACTCACAGACGAGGCTCCCGCCTGATACGTCCTCCACATTCAGGCCTGCGGAGCCCAAAAGTTACGACAATTACGAATTGTACGACCCGCACGGATTAGCCACATGATTTGCGGGCCCCTTAGGGAGGGGGCTCCCGCCTGAGAATTTTTTCTCGTAATTCGCTCACAAACGAGGCTCCCGCCAGATATGTCCTCCATAGTCAGGCCTGATGATGATGCTGAATGATCGATGGATGATGGTGTTGATGATGAAGAAGCTAATGATGAATATGAGTGGTGGTGATGATGAGCGCCGATGATGACGAATGCTGGTGACGCGAAGTGTACAATGACGATGGTGATGATAATGAGTGATGATAGGGATTGAGTGATTGAGTAAATGAGTGAGTGAGTGAGTGAGTGTCTGCGTGAGTGAATGAGTGAGTGTGTGTGCGTGTGTGAATGAGTGGGTGTTCCTGTTCCTGTTCATGCGCGGGGTGTCCAGAGAAGACAAGACCCCCACTTTGGATGTGGGGAAGAAACACAGACACAGTTAATCGTCGATTCCCAACAAATTCTGCGGAAATATGGGAAATGTGGGGGGCGGAAACGAAAACCTTGAACATATTGGAAAATATGGTGAATCCTGGGGCTTGTGTGTATTTATGTGTGTGTGTGTGTCTCTTGGCCCTCCTAAGAATGGTGAGTGGGATGATAAAGAGGCTGGGGAGGGTAAGCATATGGCACTACTGCTCGTGGGACACTGGCTGCGAAAAAGGTTTGGGTGTGCGGCTGGAATCGAAGATGATGAGGTCGGCTGAGTACAGGGTTCTAGAGGCATGGACTTGTAAGCTTGTTGCCTGGCAATGTGGTGGCAGGCGGTGGGTCAGCAGTGCACGCACGGGTCGTTGCGCTCGCTTGCGCAGTGTTCGGCGGCCCCTACTGGCCGTCGCAAGAGGCGTCCGGCATCGCTGCCTTTCGCGTCCCCCCCTCCCCCCCTAACCTTTCCCAGCCCACAGCGTAGGAACCGTGGCTGATAGCAAGGCAAGATGCGGTGGCTGCTGAAAAAGAGTGGGCGGACAGTAGGCGTGGGATGCGAGGCAGAGCTTGCTGGACATGCGGTTGGCGAGGGCGGTGGCGGTTGGTGCCGCTGCAGCCCTGGCCCTTGCCAGGATGGCCGGCGGATCGTTCCATGTGTTTTTCCCCCTCCCCGAAAAATGCGCCCTCCCCACCCCCCCGTCGGCTAGGTGGCGGCTGGCGGCGAGACTCGAGGCTCTGGCGGGCGGAAGGCTGCTGCGACACGTGGCCGCACAGCGAAGAGCCACAGCGGCTGGCGGTAGCGTGAGTGGTCAGTTGCGTTGCGTGGGCAACGCTGCTGGCCGCGGCCGCCCTGGCCAACGTCGGGACAGTCGGCGGTGTTCGCATCCACCCCCTCCCCTCTTCGATCCTAACACCACCCATCCCGCCCCGCAAGAGTGGTGGAGGTGAAGTTTAGTGGAGTGGGGTGTTGAGTAGGCGAACGCGCACGATGAGTGGTCTGCCGGGAGGGGGGGGGTGGGAGTCTGGGTGCGAGCTCTCAGTGGCCAGACCGATGGTTCGGTCCTTTGTGTCGCCTGCCTCCTAGGCCCCATCTTGTGGCAGGATTAACTTGACACTTTCAAAGAGGCGTATGAGAAAACACCATCAGTCGGTGTTGATCCTGGCCATTGTGGGTGAGAATGTCGTGGCGGGTTTTGGAGCCCTGTACGACCGCAAACCCATAAGTGTTACGTCGGATGAGGTGGCGTCCGCGAAGCTGCCTTACATCTGATGAAATAGCATACTGTGGGCGAGAATACCGCGGCGGTTTGTGGAGCCCCGTATGACCGCGGATCCACTGCGTAGCATAGCGCACTCAGTGTCGTTGTAGTTGTCGTTGTGGGGTGATGCTGTCTGCGTAGTGTTACATCGTATGAATCCTCCTGTGGGTCAAAACGCCGCGGCGGGCTCTGGAGCCCTGCGTGACCGCGGACCCACTGTAGCACAGACGCAGCCTGCGGGGGTTGTAGGCGCCGTATGATGGCTGTGCGATTGGAGGTAGTGCCGTAGGCCGTGCGGTTGGGGTAGAGAGAGAGAGAGAGAGTAAGATGTTAGTGCAGAGGTCTGGTACGGGAACTGGGGGCAGCTGTTGAGCATGTTGGTCGCTTGGGAACAGCCTTGGTGCAGAGGTGATGCAGTTGGAGGCCTCCGTGAGGCAGGTTCTGTCTGGGCACGACGGTGGCGATAGCCTCTTAGCCCGTGGTTGCGGGAGATGGGTGCTGCAGTCCACCTTTCAAAGAAAGAGGTGAAAGGAAGAGGTTGGCCCGTGCCACGGGCCTGTTCGACGGCATAGTGCAAGGCGTCGGCATTACCGACGATCGCGATGACGCCGGTATCGTTCCTGCTCCTCCTCCTCCTCTTCTTCCTTCTCCTCCCCTTCTTCCTCCTCCTCTTCGACTTCCTCCCGATTTGCCTTCCCCCCCGTTTTGTCTTCCCCGTCCCTCGGCCCCCTCCTCCCTTCCTCGGCTGCGGACATCCCGATCCTGGCCCCGCGAGCATTCCGACCCTCACGAGCATTCCCCCCCCCACCCACCCCACCCCACCCTCCCTACCACCACCAAGCACCCCGACGTCATGATTTTTGTTTCATCACGTGGACCCCTAGAGGTCTGGACCCCTTCCCAGGGACGGGCTTTTCATCCTTCGGGCGGAGAGAATTATGCACATGTACCTGTCCTGGCCAGGCCCATCCTTGGCCCAGGATCGGTGCATATGCTTTCCTGGCCAAGGCAGGAGTGCGTATGCACCGATCAAGGGCCAGTCACAGAGCCTGCAGTGTTTTCCCCGCCTGTGCCCTACGTGGCCGCGCTTTGTGGGCATACAGGCCTGACCTGACCTGACCTGTCGCTTCGGTCGGTTTCCAGTTGTGCTGTAGCCGTGGACTTCCTCGGCTTCCGAGGAGTGGGCCTGTGGCAGCCGTGGCTGCCCAGGGAGCCGAGGGGCCGGCGTCTCCTCGGCGCCTCTTCTGCGGGCGTGCCGAGCCCTCGTCGGGCCCAGCTGTTGCAGCAGTGTGCCCGGTCGTCGCGTCGGCTGGAATCGGCCAGCCCTCTCTCGGCGACGAGCGAGGGGGGGAAATGAGAAGGAAAAGGTCTTCCCAGAAGGCGGCGGGACTTTCAGAAGCCCTCTGGCCTTCTGAGAGGTTGTCTATGTTCGAAAATTGCTCAGAAGGCCAGGGGACTTCCGAGTCTTCTGAGAAGGCCCGTCCCTTCGCACTTCCCCCCCTCGCCCGCCGCCGAGACTCTCTTCGCAAGCCCGGGCGGGCGGCTTCGATGTGATAGGTGTTTCCCGATCATGCTCTACGAAGTCGCATGTAACGAATGCGGCACAAGAGTTTCCCGCCTCCCCGTGCGTGTCTGCGAAGCTGCGTGCGGGCTCCGTCGATGCGAAACAGGGGTTCAACGCTTTGACAGGGTCCAACTGTGTGGGTCCATCCCAACAAGACGACATGAACTGTAAAAGCACGCTTATGTGTGGGACTTGTACGTCTTATGCCAAGCGCAGCTCACAACATCTGCTGAATGCGCGTGGGCACGCGCATGTACTTCAGCAGGTCATGTGCTTCTGGATATTTTCGCGCAGCGAGAGGTTACATGCAGTCTTACGCCCTACATGTTTATGAATCCTCACCCGTTGGATGGCAGGCCTAATCTGTCGTTTCCAATGGTCAGCTGATCGCCCTCGTTCCTCTCTTCTTCTCTCTCCTCTTCCCCTTCTCCCTCCTCCGCATCAGCAACTTGCTCTCCGCACCCTTTATCATGTATTGTCTCCCCCTTCCATCATCACTTGCCCCGAGGGATGCGCATCCTAGCTGCACTGTAGAATGCGGCGCTGCCAAGGAATTATGCGTGTGGGTTCAATCGCTGGTTGGTTCGCAACAGACCTTGGTAATGCCGTTCCAAGTGCGATTGTGGCGACGTTGTGTACACTTTTACAGCCCGCAACGCACTCTTTAACTGCCTAACTGCCCTGACTGTAGGCACACGTGCTGACAGGAGAGGCCATGCACTGCCCATGCGAAAGTTCCTCCTCTCGACCAACACCTCCCTCTCTTCCTCCCGTTCCCTGTATTCTCTTCTCCGTCGTCCCCCCTCGCCTCCTCTTCCCTATTCCCTCCTCTCTCCATCGCGCCCACCCTCGTCTTCCCTCCCTCCTGGCCTGCTCTGCTCCTCCCTGCTCCCCACGCTGCCAGCTCCAGTATGCTCTCCCTCCACGCGCCCACGAGCCGCCAAGACCGCGCACGCTGCACGCGCTTGCGCGGCCCAGCCCGGAGGTCCTAGTCGCGACGCCGGACTTCATGAGCTACTTCATCCACAGGACGCCCAGAATCGCCCCTTCCCTCCCCCTTCAGGGGTCGATTCGACTGCTCCGATTCGAGTCGGTTCGATTCCGATGGCTCCCGATTCCGATTCTGATTCGATTCGCCAATAGAGCACCGTGGTCGTTGTCCTCCGCCCGCCTTCGTCTCGCCCCCCCCCCCCCCAAGGGGGGCTGCGATCTGCAAAGCTGTAGCACAGCGTCGCCCTACGCGGATTCAGTTTAGACCTCGCCACCCCAGCGGGGCTGCGATCTGCGAAGCTGTCGCCACTTTCGAGGGTCGCTGGGGGGCCCAGCACAGTGTCGCCCTACGCGGATTCAGATTAGACCTCGCCACCCCTGGGTGGCTGCGATCTGCGAAGCTGTCGCCACTTTCGAGGGTTGCTGGGGGGCCCAGCACAGTGTCGCCCTACGCGGATTCAGATTAGACCTCGCAATCATTGGATGGTTGCATTCTGCGAAACTGTCGCCACTTTGAGCGTGTTTCTTTATTGCTTGGGCCATAACGCGTGTTATGGCCCCCCTGCACCCCCCCATAACGTAACGCTCCGGCCCCGAGTTCGCCACTGGCACTGCCGCCGTGCGCATAGGGATCCGCACAGGAACCATAATAGGGATCCGCATAGGCATCCACACAGAAGTCCGCATAGGGATCCCCTATGGGGACTGCATATGGAGATATCCATCGGGATCCGCATAGGGATCCGCATTGTGATTCCCAGGGATCCTTATAGAGATCCACGTAGGGATCTTGATAGGAATCCGCATAGGGATCCGCGTGGGGATCCGAATAGGGATCCCTAGAGGCATCTGCTCAGGGATCCGCATAGGGATCCGCATAACAATTCGCATAGGCATCCGCATAGGGATCCGCATAGGGTCCCGCTTAGGCATCCGCATAGGAATCCGCATAGGGATGCGCATGGTAATCCCTAGAAGGGTCCTCATAGGGATTCGCATAGAGATCCGCATAGGGGCGGTGGTCGCGAGCAAGTTGCGGTGCTCTCAGGCACTTGTCGTGTTCGTGCGTGAGAGAGATAGAGAGAGAGAGAGAGCGAGAGAGAGAGAGAGAAAGCAAAAGGAGGAGAAGGACGACGACGACAACGACGATGACGACGAGGAGGGAGGAGGGAGGTAAGGAGCATACCTCTCATACGCCACGTGGAGACCACGACGCCTTCGCGTCGTCGTCGTCGTGCTCGCTCGTCGTTCTCGTCGTCTTCGTCGTCGTCGCCGTCGTCGTTGTTGTTGTTTTTTGTCTTCGCCGTCGTCTTCGTCGTCGGTCGTCGTCGTCGACGTAGTCGTCGTCGTCGTCGTCGTCGTCGTCGTCGTCGTCGTCGTCGTCGTCGTCGTCGTCGTCGTCGTGGTCGCTCATCGTCGTCGTGGTCGTCGTCGTCGTCGTCGTCGTCGTCGTTGTCGCTGTTGCTGGTCGTCGTCGTGCGCGCGGACGCTGTGGTGTCGCCGAAACCGCACGGCGGGGGTTGGGCGTTACGTTATGCCCCCCCCGCCCCCCCCACCCCCCATCACGCCCTTTTTCGCCGCGAGTCAAGAATCGCGTCCTTTCGAGGGCTGTTGGGGTGGGGGGCAGTACTGCGTCGCCATACGCAAGTTCAGATTAGATCTCGTCGTCCTTGTGGGGCTGCTATCGGCGAAACTGTCGCCACTTTCGAGGGCTGTTGGGGGGGGGGGGGCAGCACAGTGTCGCCATACGCGGAATCATATTAGACCTCGCCATCCCTGGGTGGCTGCGATCTGCGAAACTGTTGCCACTTTCGAGGGCTGCGGGGGGGCCAGCACAGTGGGGTCCCACGCGGATTCAGACTAGACCTCGCGATCACTGGGGGGTTGCGAGCGTGGCGGCGTCTCGTCGGGTTGTTGTCGGTCTCGTTTTACCCCGCCTTCTGTTGTTGGGTTCTCGTTTTGAAAAGATCACTGTGCTCGCGTCTCCTCCTCCTTCCTTCCCCCCCGCCTCCCTCCTTCCTCTCTCTTTCCCCCTCTCTGTCTGCCTGTCTGTCTGTCTGTCTGTCTGTCTGTCTGTCTGCCTGTCTGTCTGTCTGTCTGTCTGTCTGTCTGTCTGTCTGTCTGTCTCTCTCTCTATCTCTCTCTGTACGTACGTAGCACCCCGCAGATGCGGATAAGAGTGAGGGGGCGGTGGGGACGTCGGCAGTCTGCGAGACTCTAGAGAAACCCGCCGCAGGCGCCAACGTTTCACATTGTATATAACGAGCCCGCCGCAGGCGCCGATTTTTTCGGTAAACCAATGTGGGTGGGTCGGGGGTGGGTCGGGGGTGGGTCGCGGGTGGGTCGCGGGTGGGTCGCTGTTGGGTCGCAGGTGGGTCGCAGGTGGGTCGCGGGTGTAGAGGGCAGAACATTCACCCCATAATTATCATCCCGACAAGCGAAGCCGTTTAGTAAACTCACACAAAGAATGAATCGAACAGGGCAGGGCTGTTTAGTAAACGCACAGGGCCCTTTAGCAAACGTCAATTGTCGGGTCAGGGCCCTTTAGCAAACGTCAATTGAGTGTGGGTCGCGGGGTGGGTCGCGGGTGGGTCGCCAGGTGGGTCGCGGGTGGGTCGCGGATGGTCGCGGATGGGTGGGTGGGTCGCGGGTGGGTTGCGGGGTGAATCGCGGGTGGGTCGCGGGTGGGTCGCGGGTGGGTCTCGGGTGGGTCGCAGGTTGGGTCGCGGGTGGGTGTGTCTCGGGTGGGTCGCGGGTTGGGTCGCGGGTGGGTCGCGGGGTGGGTCGCGGGGTGGGTCGCGGGGTGGGTCGCGGGGTGGGTCGCCGGGTGGGTCTCGGAGTGGGTCGCGGCGTGGGTCGCGGCGTGGGTCGCGGGTGGGTCGCGGGGTGGGACGACGACAACCAACGACATCAACGACGACGACAACAACAGCACAAACAACAATAACAACACCACCACCAAGAACAAACACAACAACAGCAACAGCAGCAACAGCAACAGCAACAGCAACAACGCCACCATCAACAGCAACAGCCACACCAACATCAGCACCTTCAACAACAACGACATCAGCAACAACACCAACAATACCAACAACACCAACAACAGTATCAACAACAACAGCAGCAACAACACCAACAACAGCAGCAGCAGCAACAACAACACCAACACCACCACCAGCGCCGACAACAGCACTATTACCACCAGCAATAACAACAACGCAACAAACATTATTGTCGCCACGAATTCCCTATTCAGCAACGCATCCAGGGACAATGAATGACCGTTCGCCCCCTCACTCTGATGTATGTATGTGTGTATGTCTGTCTGTCTGTCTGTCTGTCTGTCTGTCTGTCTGTCTGTCTGTCTGTCTGTCTGTCTGTCTGTCTGTCTGTCTGTCTGTCTGTCTGTCTGTCTGTCTGTGTGTAATCCGGGGTGGTGGGAAAATCCCCCCTCCCAGCCCCACCCAAAACCGGGGACCAGCGGATCCGTTGCTCCAGGGGCCCCCGGGACGCCCCTGCGGAAGGCCCTCTGGTCTTTCCGGAGCTCCTGGAATCCTTTGCTGGTCTAGGCAGCGGGCTCAGGCCAGTCACGAGGGCGTCCGAACCCCGTCCCGATGGCCCCAAGAGGCCCCAGACACCCACCAGACGCCAGAATACGACCCGAAGAAGACACCCAAGATGCTTCTGAAGCGGACAAGAGTAAGCATGTATTCCCCATGGGTTTTAGTATGATGTAGGGACTGCCCTGTGCTCCTCCCCGGTCCTCCGGGCGTCCGAGACTGCCCAAGAGGCCCGAACATCGTCCCAGAGCTATCCGAAAGGGCTTCCAGGCAGTCCAGAAGAGCCCCAGGACGGCCCAACAGGGTCCCAAGATGGCCCGAACAGAGCCCCATGACAGCTCAAGATGGCGGTCTTTCGGGGAGACCGTTGTTGCAAGCAGGGTGGCCCGAGGAAATCCCCAGAGTTCTCCCCAGAAGGCGCCCAGGAGATCTTCAGGAGGCCCCAAGAAGCCCTTCAAAACTTTCGTGAGGCCTCCAAGAGGCTCTCCAAGGAGGGGTCTCCACAAAAAGAGCTGAGGAGGATGGGGAATGATTCGCAGGGTATGCGAACATGAGGAAGAGTCAGAGGGAGCATGAGGGAATGATAATGAATATCAGCCTCATACCGACGATGTCGGAAAAGGTAACAATGAGCTATCTCTAAATTTTGAGTTTACCTTCCTGCCCTTCAGTCTGCAGGTCAAATCTTCAAGAACCAGCGAAGCGCCCATGCAGTCTTGTGTGTATACATATGTATCAGAGAAGGGGCCGAACGGTTATTCATTGTCACTGGGTGCTTGGTTAATCTGGGGATCAGTGGTGAGGATTTCGCTTGTTGCGTTGCTGTTGTTGTTGTTGCTGCTGTTGTTGTTGCTGTTGTTGTTGTTGTTGTTGTTGTTGAGCTCTCATTTTCTGAAGAATAATTAATGTTGATCCCCCCGTCTGGTGCACATTTTTTTGTTTTGATCGAAGTGCTCTTCCTGGGGCTCGCACCCTGTTTTTTATAAGGGAAAGTCTTGAGGGTCAAACTGTGCCCCTGGCCCCCGGGTTACAACAACAACGGCTTCCGCCTGAGATTTCCTCACAATTTCTTGAAGAATCGCGCTCTCGCCTGGGACTTCCTCACAATTTACCACCGGATCGCGGCTCCCGCTTGATATTTCCTTACAAGGTATTAGAGAATCGCGCTCTCGCTTGGGACTTCCTCGCAACTTACCGCCGAATCGCGGCTCCCGCTTGATATGTCCTCACCATTTATTCAGATGCCGCTCCTCGACACTCAGCAATCGCGCTCCCGCTACATATTGCCTGGCGGTTCAAGCAGAATTTACGCTTCAACGACCCGCCCGCTCGACCCGCCCGTCTGGGCCTGCCCGCACGACCAGCCCGTTAGGGACTGCAGTCGCCGCTCGCTGCCCTTCGCCCGCCTTCGATGCCCCTCGCTGCCCATACTGGTTCCGCGGTCGCCTTCGCTCGCTGCCCTTCGTGGTCCCGTTG